AACCACACAGTGAGATACGAAATGCGTCATAGTCTTCCTGTTGTAATCTCAAGATCCTATCACAAGCGTAAATCTAAAACTGTCCCAAAAACCTTCATAAAAACGTGCTTTGGAGATCTTTATCATTCCAAAATGTTTCCCTTTGACTTAATCAAAAGGGTGGAAATCAGTTACTGTATTGAATGGCAATTTCTGTTATTGTTTAATATCACAGTGGTCTAAATGATGTAGGCAGAAGTGGACTCACAACCAGATTTAGACCAATTCCCAAATATAACCAAATAACAATAAAACAATTTTCAAATATTTAACAAAAATAATTTATAAAAATTGTGTAATGTTGAAATTCACCACCAAAACACCATGTTTACCTCAGCTAGCTAACAGCCCACAACCTAACCAACTAACCTACAGGCTCGCTAGTCACGCCTGTAACCTAAGCATATCCTAACCTAATGCAACCTAAATTTTAGTCTAGCGACCAATTTCTCAGAAAACAAAGAAAGAGAAGTTATCTAACACTGCTACCAGGATACTCTTATGCTAACTAGCTAAGTGAAAGGAAAGCAAGTATGACAATAGCTCTGGAAGTGTTGGAAAAATTATCTATTTACAGTCACTATTTCCAACATGGCAATTGCTTGAGTTAAAACTTAATCTACTCGGTTCCAAACAGCACTGATTCTTTGCATTGGATATTGGATATAACTTTTAAAGCTTAGAGCATATCCTTTAGTGTAATATATTTGCTAATAAAGGAGTAAATAATTGTTCAAACTGACGAACTGTCACATCATCATTTAAGGATACTCGCAGTCCACATGGTCAAGGCTGACATTCTTCCACTATACTTGTACCTATGAGTCATGTATGAGGACACACTGGCCAACAAAATCAGGACCATTCAAGTCAACAAACGATTCCAACCACTGTGATGACCGAGTGCTGGAAAGTGAGATCATCAGTGCTTTGAGACAAAACCAGATGTAGGCCAACTGCCATGTACGTCAATGCATGTGTACGCAACCACTTGGCCGAACTGCCTATTCATTATCACAAAAACAGTCCCATCACTTACTCCTTTCTCTGGGGGTTTGACATCAACTCTGCAAGCTCTGCTCATCTTCAGAATGGATGGTAATGGACAGTCTTATTTCAATACCAACTCTCGCCAGAATTAAATAAAATTGAATCCAGATGTACCTTCCCTGTTTAGAAATAAAGAATACTAAGACCATTCTTTAGATGGAAAGGTTTCCCCTCACTGTTAAATGGCACTTGTTTATTTTACTGGACATACTCGTAGAAAATGGACTGTTAATATCTTAACTTGTTTAACAGAGTGGATTATATGACTACATTATATAGAAACTCAAAAGAATCAGGCCAACAATTTATTATGAAGAGTTTTGGCAAATTCACAAAATGTCTTTTATTTCTGTTTTCAGAACCTACACGACAGGTTTGCATTACTCTTGATCTACCATTGTTGTACACCTGCAAACTGTTTAGTAGGTATTTAAGTGAAATAAAATTTCAGAATCTGTTTAGATATTGCTTTTCATTATTACCCCCCTGAGGACCACATTACATTTATGTTATTATGTTATTATTATGTTATTCATAAATGCTTATTTTATTTACCTTCTACAGTGCTCATAAGGTGACATAGTGATTTAGTTTAATAAGGTGCCACTAATGAATATATTGAGGCCACGAGTTCACTCTTATTGAAGTGGAGAATGCAAAATGCTTTCTGCTCAGGGGTCGCCATCTAACCGCAGACTGAAGGGAGCCATCTTCCGGTGACATTCAGAAACTCTATGACCCCCTCTTTCAATTGGTATGTGATTGGTTTCTAGGCGCCTTACGGTTGTAAAAATATGGCGCTTTGAAATCGGATTAAACTTTTTGAACCACCATGTATTATTCGTGGCATTATTTTATGTATTGATGGCCACACCCTGTTAAAAAATAATCACCATGTCACCTTTTTCTGTTTAGAGTAAGTATCATTTTAGTATAACATTACCAGGGTTTACATTACAATTCCACCAGTCTAAACTCTTTGTCATTATTAAGACATGCTAACATACTGACGTGCTCCAGGACAAGTCAAGAACAAAGCCAGTTAAGGACGAGCCCTGCTCATAAAATGATCTCTCTGACAGCTTGGACAGAGATGGAACGCACGAGGAGGCTCTTGCTAGCTGCACTAGCCATAGGTATTTCTTCTTTTTCCACCAATTCAGGGAATCCGTGTGAAGTAGTATGCACATGTCCTTGCAGTAGAGGTGAAATTCTGTTGTTTTTGTTATGTAATCCTCACCGAACAGGACCGCTATGGCAGAGGCATTGTCATTTTGTGGTTTCTCGGCCACTATTTTAGTTGTTCCGCTCAGTTCAGGTGCAGGGCTCTCGTCCACATTAGCAATGTTACTAACAGTTGAAAGAAGATCTCACACTTGTTTCTACGGCGTGTTTAAGTAGATTGTAGGGAATGTCAGGGGGTTGTTTCTTGGGTCGAGAAATGACGCAATGATTTATTGTTAAACAGACTAGAGCCTTTCACCAAAAACATAGATTTTACAGTGGCTTCAGGTGGAGTATAGTTCAGACATGTCATGATACTTAAGTATGAGAGATAATAAGCTAATTAGACAAGCTAATTTGCATATAACTTTAATTCAAATTGTCAGTTTGCTCTGCACATTTCACTCTGCACAGTTTCTCAAACCTTGGACAATATCAAGAAGGCATTGCTCAGCGTTTCACACTGAAGAGAGGGGCTGTTCCAACTTTATTAGCATCACAACCCTACACCCGCAAGTAGCTAGTCATGCTGTGTAATTTTATTCACTTTTTGACTGTTGAAGCCAGATAGATTGAATCTTAGATCTTAGATTGAAACTTTCATAGTGAGCTCACAACTTTAATTTACTTTGTGTTGTTATCAAGACCAAAAGAAAGTAGCTAGTATAGGTAACGCTAGCTACTAGTACATTCCAAGTAACTAGCATGGCTAACTAAAAAGTATGACGACCTAGCTTATTTACAGGTAGATTCATTTTATTTTCCTGCCTGTGTCTATTTCAACATATTACTTCTAAGTGAGCCATCGTGATGCCTCGCTGTAAACCAGTAAATCAGAGCAGAGCTCATCAAATTATTCATGAGCACACCAAAAAAGGAAACACAGCTTTTTTCATTGTAGGGCCGCATCTGGGCATTTTTCATGACCAAAGTCATGTCACTTGTATGTAGACACCAGAGAACAATTTAAAATACTTAATAAATACATTCTATGGCACCTTTCAGAATAAATCAGCTAGTTTTGCATTGTAGTCCTTGTAGATGCTGAATTAAGCTTGCAATAAGCCTGGAGGTTTAAAGGAGTTAAAGTATCCATTTTCACATTCTTTTACTATTGAAACTTACAGAAAAGCAGAGAAGAGAGCTGAGACAGAGCTAGTTTTGAAAACAACAGCATACAGTTTTGTGTGCTCAATAAATTAAAGCCAGATTAAGGTATTTGGAGCACCTCCTCTAGGACTAGGTCAGTTTTAATAACAAGCTCACAAGAGTCAACACACACACACACGTGTCATCACCCACACACACACCTACACAGAGATATACATACACACAAACAAACACACAGGCCTCTTCGCCTCACTCAACAGAAACCCAAACTCTACTTAAAAGTGAATTCCATTCATTCTTTTTTCCTAATTACTGTATAATTAAATGATTAAGATGCAAACAAAGTCATTCAGAGTGGTTTGATGTGAAATGCTCGAGGCTCATGCTCAATGCTAGAGAAGCTAGAGTACCGATTTGGAATTGTTCACAGTGGTGGGGATAGGAACCAGGCGTCCAAAACCTTTAAATGCCTGTAAAGGCCTTCTAACAGAAAAGGTTTTGGCCTAAAGCATACTGTTAAAACATATTAATGGCAGAGAGGTACATGCAGGCCACTGGATGGCAAAACACTCCCCAGATATAAATATATATTTACCACTATTTTCTCATTACCAATATTACATAAAAACCTGAGAAGGCATGTGTAGGTTCACTGTGCATGTGTACAGTCCACACAGTCTGTACTGTAGGTCACATACCTACCAACCTGATTCAGCTACGAGAAAGAGGATAAAACTTTCACTTACTGCTGACTTTGGTTTTAATCCTACATACTTAAAAAAAAGGTTTTTCAAGGATTCTTCAGTAAAAGGAATGGTTCTATTTAGAACTATGAGTTCTATGTAGAACTATTGCACGCTTAAAAGGTTATGTGCATGGTGAAATGGTTCTTCAGATACAGAATGTGTTGTAAATGGTTCTTTATACAACCGTTTTGAAAATGGTTCTATATAGCACCAAAAGGGGTTCTTCTATTATTATAAGCTTAAAAGGTTCTATATAGAACCATATACAACACATTTCACCAAGCAAAGAACCATTTAAGCATGCAATTGTTCTACACAGGACTCGTGGTTCTAAACAGAACCACTGCCTTTACTAAAGACCGCTTAAAACATATTTTTTAAGAGTGTACAGTTTGTTTTTTATGCTCTTACTAAAAGCTAATAACTTGTGCAGATTGTTGCTAAGTTGAATACCGCCTCTTGTGAAATATCCGGAGAAAAGCACAAAATTAAAAAAGCTCCTGAAATAACTGTGGGCAGGGCCAGTACTAGAGCACTGACCGGCATTGACCCACTCCGTGACACAGTTATGCAACGCGCATGTTTAAACCTACGATAATGTCGGTTAAAACACGTTTCAGCGCGTTTATATAAACCTAATGTCTTCGGTAGCGCGTTTCGGTGTTAGACAGTGAAGAAAACCTGTTAATAAGCCTCATATAACGTCCTTACAGTGAAATATGCTCCTCAGACCGCGCGCAGAGCAGTCAATGGAATTTCACTGTTATACAACCGCTTAAACGCGCGAGCAGCCGGCTAATGTTATAGCTACGAACTGAAACTCCAGCGTACCTGACTCTTCAACAGACGGCGCCTCGTTCAGAATTCAGCTTCCGAGAGGAGCTCTGTTTTACCCCGTCGTGGTTCCTCGATTGTATTTAGTGATATTCCTGAATGTCTGGGTTCAGCCCACCGGTCTGCGCTGACACACTGCACTCGCTCACTGTTTCCCCTTACACTGCTGCCCTGAATCTCCGGCTCTCAGTATGACCTCAATTCGGACTCCTCCCTCCTCGCCTCGCCTCGTCCAATCACGGTCGGCTACACGCATCGCGTTTCCATAGCGAACACAAGCAAATGACGGCGCTCGGGCTGCCATTGGCTGAAAGCGCCGCCAGTCTCTTTATATAAGGCTGGCATACGCCTCACGTGGAAACCCCATGGCCAGTGACGGCGTGCGAACCGTGTGGGCAAATCAGTAAATAGGGAAAGCGAGCGGGTGAATGGAGCTGTGCTGAGGGAGGAGAGCGGTTGGTCCAGGGAAGCCGAGCACGCCGGCGTTATACAAACGGTTATACAAGCGTGTGTAAGTCAATGTGGTCGCTGTACGCGCAAAACTGCACCGTTGTCGGGAGTCATATGACCAAAGTATTTTCACTTTCCAGGCAAGGGCGTTTGAACAGTTCGCTACTCGACACTTTTTAACACGTTTCCGTTTGCATGAAGGTTATGATTTATGTTTCAGACTGAAGAACCTTCCTGATCCTGCATCTAACGTCTGATCCACTATCAGGCTCCACAATGCTTAATGCTTTATTCCCAGCTTCTGAGAATGAGCAGTGGGACAGGGTTTTTAACGCCAGCGTTACACTGTATGTCCAGAAGTTTGAAGACATCGTTTCTTTTGAAATTAGGAGCATTAATAGGGAGATTGTCCCCCTTGGTTGCGTTAACTGCCCCTACTCTTCTGAGAAGGCTTCACACTAGGTGTTGGAACATTGTTGTGAGGATTTGATTGCATTCAGCATTAGTGGGGTCAGGTACTAATGTTGGATGATTAATTCTGGATTGCAAACGCCACTCCAAATCTTCAAGTCTTAAAGGTAGTGTATGGAGCTCTATCACTTATGAGAACACAGTTGCTCCATAGCCCAGTGCAGTTGCTCCATAACCCAGACAATTTTACCAGTGGTGGCAGGGAGTTTTGGCAGGGAATTTGTTTGAATGTTTCGAATGTACAAGTGAGGTTGGAGAGAGGTTGGGCGGTTGTTACGATAGCAAAAGAGCTCTCCTCTTAAAGGCACAAACACTTGCCCCACAGCAAGGTGGAAGTCAATGATGTGGCAGAAATTTTGGCGTGGCATCTGGGGTTGCTAAACAGATTTCAAGGGGGCGCTGGCCACGCTGTCCATCCCTTTAAAACTGTGCATGGCCCAGTGCTGGAAGGTTTTATACCCCTCTGTTTGAATGCCTGTGTCAGCAATGTGTGCACCTTTCAGCAGATGAATTCACAAATTAGAAGGGCATCAGAATACTTGGACATATAATGTATCACACGCACCACTGAATGTTTTGCACATGTGTAAATTCTTGGTAATGTTTTTCATGCCAACCCAACGCCCCATACTACTTAAATGTTAATGTTTCAATGTTGTCTCTGCACTTTGTCATGTTTATGTGTATATGATGAGTAGTAGATGTGGTTAGGTGTATTCACCATGTTCTGTGTTTTTCTATTTCTTTTACACCCAGGTTTCTCCTCAGGGCTCACTGAAGTACATTTGTCTACATCTGTCTAATCAAGGTTTTATGAATATTTTAACTACAGACTGTGCTCTCGATCAGTGGAACAAAGTGCGCTTGGAGTGCGCAAGTCCAGAGACTGCTTGGTTGGGACTCTTGGCTTCCTTGAGATCTGTTATTTATAAAAACATTTTCATGCACCCTTATAGTAACACAAGCGTCGGATCAACCCACACATAGTCAGTCCCTGCCTACACAGAACTCTGGATCCATCTTGAACTTTATGAAGATGAGTTGTTGAGGCAAAATGGTTTCACAGTTAAACACAATGTGTATATTGTGCTGCTGTAAATGTAATTTCTGTGGGAATGCTGAAAGATGCTGGCACAAATTTGATGCCTTTTTACAGAGGAATTTATCTGGATTACCACACACTCCTGCGGAAAAAAGAGAAACTTCACAACAGCAGATGGTAGAGAATATTTCCAATGGTCCTCAAGCCTGGCAATTAACCCTTAACAGACCTTCTCTGAGAATCATGCTCACATGCACACATACAATGTGCTAGTGTTTTTGAAAATATCTATCTATCTATCTATATCTATCTATCTATCTATCTATCTATATATATATATATATATATATATATATATATATATACACACACTCACTCAAAATGTATCCAGACACCCCTTCTAATTCATGATCTTTGCTAGCCATTGTCGCACAGCTTCTATAATTCTCCATAGAAAAAAAGGTAGATGTATGTAGATATCTTTGTCTTTGTCAAAACAGTTTGATTTTTTTTTGTATATATATATATATACATATATATATATATATATATATATATATACTTGTGTGTATATATATATATACTTGTGTATATATATATATATATATATATATATATATATATATTTATGTGTGTGTGTGTGTGTGTGTGTAGTAACTGTTTATAAACAGTTAATTTATATATATGCAGGCCAGTCAAGTGCATCCACACCAAACTGACCCAACCATGCCTTTATGGACCTTGCTGTGCACAGTCTTGCTGAAACAGAAAAGGGCCTTCCCCAAACTGTGCACAAAGGTGGAAGCATAGCATTGTCCAAAATGTCTTGGTATGCTAAAGCATTAAGATTTCCCTTCACTGGAACTAAGGGTCCTAGGCCAACCCCTGAAAAATAACCCTATAGCATTGTTCCTCCTCCACCAAACTTTACACTTGGCACAATGTAGTAGGCAGCTAACATTCTCACTCACCAAACCCAGACTCGTTCATCAGACTGCCAGATAGAGAAGCGTGATTCATCACTCCACATAACACGTTTCCACTGCTCCAGAGTCCAGTTGCAGCGTGCTTACCCCTGTTGCTTCCAGAGGCAATTTGGAACTCCTCAATGAATGATTCAACAGAGGATAGGCACTGTGCACTTCAGCACTCTCCAGCCCCACTCTGTGAGTTTGCAAGATCTACTGCTTCATGGCCAAGCTGCTTTTTTTCCGTGGTGTTTCCATTTCACAATAAAAGCACTTGCAGTTGACTGGGGCAGATCTAGCAGGACAGAAATTTCACAAACTGACTTCTGGGTGAAGCTAGCTGAGTGCTCTCACTCAATAGGTGGGGGTGGTGTTGAGGGAGATGAAACATATTGCTGGTTAATATTATTTTTCCCCACCTGCTAGTACATAGTGTTTTAGACGTGGACAAAAGGCATCACATTTTAATGGAAGATTATGGGAAAATAAGAATTTTGTTTTTTAAAAGATGTACTGAATTGTGCTGAATATGACCAGGGGCATAAAGTGATAAGATAAAAAGGTCCATTGTGATTTTAGGTTGACTTGTAGTCTCACTGAGATTTGGAATTAGGCAGTGGATGGCCACACGAAGAGAGTGACCATAAGGGTGGAGAGACAGAGACAGTGAGTTGTTATAGATGGTGGGCAGTACGGTCAGTGTTAGGTGGGCGTTGAGCGGAAGCACCTTGCTTCGCTCACTATGGCAGAAATCCTTCTGAGTCACTGCTTTCAGAGAAACCATCCATGCACTTAACACAATATATACACATCAGATATGGGCCACTACTTGGTGTAAAATAGTTGAATTAATCTCTTCTGACTTTCAGGCTCGTTTGGGCAAATATTAGTTGGCCCTTAAATTAAAGGGGAGCTCTAGAAGTTAGAATTATTAGTCAGAATTGTTCATAGTGGTAGTAATAGGAACCAGATGTCTGAAGTGTTTAATGCCTTTAAAAACTCGCTCACAGAAAGTTATTGATTTTTTAAAATTTCTGTATAGTTCAGAGGGCGGCACGGTGGCACAGTGGCACAGTGGGTAGCGCTGTCGCCTCACAGCAAGAATGGCCTGGGTTTGATTCCTGGCCACAGTCCAAAAACATGCAGTCAGGCCAATTGGTCATGCTAAAATTGCCCCTAGGTGTGAGTGTGTGTGACTGTGTATGTCTGTCTGTCTGCCCTGTGATGGACTGGCGACCTGTCCAGGGTGTATCCTGCCTTCTGCCCAATGACAGCTGGGATAGGCTCCAGCACCCCACCGCGACCCAGAAGGATAAGCGGTTTTGATGATGATGATGATGATGATGTGTAGTTCAGTTGTTGAGATGTGAATTGCAGTACTTTGATGTGGAATTGTGCATCGTAGGGAAACTTACCGACTTACTGTTACGTTGGTAGTGATAGGAGCAACACAAATATAACTGTTTTATTTACTATGCAAAAGGACCAGTTAACCTGCACATATCTCCTGAGTTTAATATGTAATGTTGATGATAGTAGAATAGCGGGCGATGCGAAAAAAGGAGTTATTTTAACATAATGCCCTGCATGTGCCTCTCCACCATTAATGTATTTTAAAAATATTTTGAAGCCAAAACTTTATCTTAAAACTATGATTCAAATGTCAGGTTCCTATCACCAGTTTTTGGACTATTTCATATATTAACATAAATTGCACCGGCTCATCATTAGGTCTAAAATGCAAAATTAACTTTATACTCTTGAAGCTACGATGGCAATAGTAGATCATTCATGTACATCTTCAGAGGACACATCCTTTACCAAGTTTTGACTTTGAATACTCTTTCAGCGTGCTCACAACTTCAGACTCATCCACTTGGGGAAGAGGTCCGAAACACAACCAATGTTACAAAATGTTCTTCCATACATTCTGTGCAATTACACATTTCCAGAGAGGTCTTCAAATCCCCCAAACATACATAGTGCAACTTAATTAATTAATAAGTAATTAATAACTGCAGAAATTAAGAATTTGTGAAATTCCCATTTAAACATTACATACAAAAACTCAGAAGACGTGTAGGTTCACTGATTGTTTTGGATAGTAAATAAAATGTCTATGTTTGCATTGTAGACATTTCACGTCACATCAAACCACTCTGAATGACTTTGTTCACATTTTAACAATGCATAAATGAAAAAATAGGTACAATTCTCCTTTACATCAGGCTGCCAAGTGCTCTTGGA